TCATCATCCTCATCATCAGCATCATCCTCCTCCTCCGCATCCTGATCCTCATAATCATGCAGATGACGATGAGGAGACATGCGATGGGGATGATGATGAGGATGACGGGCCCCGGGGTGGGGGGGGCTGGGGGGGGGCTGAGCATATATATATATATATATATATATAGATATACAGATGTGAAGCATGGGAACGTTTCGAGACACCTGGATTGGGCGATGGGCAGTAGCAATGATGAATCTATCGATGGTGATGGCACCGTGCCAGAAGCTGCGCTGCGCCGTGCTGTGCTGCGAAATGCTGAAGGAAACGCGAAACAACCCACGAAACGCCCTACGAAGCACCCCGGGACACACCCCAAGAAACACTCAACGAAGCACGCTAAGAAACACTTGACGCAACACCCAACGAACAGCCACGAAACACCCCACGAATCACCAAACGAAACACTCCACGAAATACCCCACGAAACACTCCACGAAACATCCCACGAACCACCCCACGAAATAGACGTGCCAACAATGCGCGCTGTCCTGCGCCGCATTGTGCCGTGCTGCCGAGCTCAAATTCCGACTCAATTATGAAACGGAACGAACCGAGATGGGGGCGAATCCAAAGAAAGACGGAACGCACCGAGCAAAGACGGACCAAAACGCGGCACACCGAGACACGACGAACCGAGACAGTACGAACCAAAGCAATACCAACCGAGCCGAGGTCCAAAATCACGCTGCGCCCCCGCTCCAGCTGTCACGACCCCTCATAAATTACGCACGGGCGCACGGGCGCACGGGCGCACGGGCGCACAGGCGCACGCGCGCACACGCGCACACGCGCACACGCGCACACACGCGCACACGCGCGCACGCGCACACACGCGCACGCACGCGCACGCACGTAACGGGGGTACTTGTAGTCACCCACACACACCACACACACAACGACGCGCACGCGCCACGCGCACGCGCACGCGCACGCGCACGCGCACAGCACACGCACACGCACACGCACGCGCCGCGCACACGCACACGCACACGCACACGCACACGCACACACACACACACACGCACACGCACACGCACACGCACACGCACACGCACACACACACACACGCCCACACGCGCGCCCACACGCGCGCACACACACGCGCACACACACACACACGCCCATACACCCAAACAGACACACGCACACATGCACACACGCACACTCACACACGAACACACACACGCACACACACAGACACGCACACACACACACACACATACACACACGCATTCACACACACACACACACACACGCCCACACGCGCGAACACACGCGCGCACCACCACACACAACCACACACATACGCCCACACACCCAAACAGACATACGCACACATGGCACACACGCACACACACACACCACGAACACACACAACACACACACGGAACCCACCCACTCCACACACAGACGCGCCACACCACACATTTACACACTTACACACGCATCACACACAAACACACACACGCATTCACACACACACACGCACACGTACACGTACACGCACACGCACACGCACACGCACACGCACACACACACGCAAACGCACGCGCACGCGCACGCACACGCACACGCACACGCACACGCACGCACACGCACACGCGCGCGCACGCGCACGCGCACACGCAAACGCACGCGCACACGCACACGCAAACGCAAACGCACACGCACGCGCACGCACACGCACACGCACACGCACACGCACGCGCACGCGCACACAGACACGCACGCACGCACGCACGCACGCACGCACGTACGCACGCACAAACGCACACACACACACACACACACCACACACACACACACAAAAGCACACATGAATACACCGTCGCACGTTCTTGCGGCCACGCACGCACTGCACGGTCAGGACCGCAAGGATTACGGTCTGTCATTTTCAACAGGACTGCGCACACTCGCACACGCGCACACGCGCGCACGCGCACACGCGCACACGCGCACACGCGCACATGCGCACACGCGCACACGCGCACACGCGCACACGCGCACACGCGCACACGCGCACACGCGCACACGCGCACACGCGCACACGCGCACACGCGCACACGCGCACACGCGCACACGCCACACGCGCACACGCGCACACGCGCACACGCGCACACGCGCACACGCGCACACGAGCACACGCGCACACGCGCACACGCGCACACGCGCACACGCGCACACGCGCACACGCGCACACGCGCACACGCGCACACGCGCACACACGCACACACGCACACACGCAAACACGCACACACGCACACACGCACACACGCACACACGCACACACGCACACACGCACACACGCACACAGACGCACACACGCACACACGCACACACGCACACACGCACACACGCACACACGCACACACGCACACACGCACACACGCGCACACGCGCACACGCGCACACGCGCACACGCGCACACGCACACGCACACGCACACACACACACACACACACACACACACACACACACACACACGCACACACACACGCACACGCACACGCACACACACACACACACACACACACACACACGCACGCACGCACGCACGCACGCACGCACGCACGCGCCACCAGCCTGCCCCGCCGCTGACATCGAGGCAACTGCGGAGGGGGAGGGGTGCTTCTAAGAAGCGTTCCCCCTCCTCCATAACCCCCCCCCCTGCGTGGCCGACTTCCCGCCGAGAACATCACAGAATTGTATTCGCACGTTGGCCAACGTCAAGCATTGGCTCCGAAAACCGGCGACGCCGACCGAAGAGGCCCGAGAAGGGACCGAAAAAGAAGCCGAGGGACAGGACCCAGGGCCCAAGAGCGTCCGAGCGAAAAGGAGACCTTGAGGCCCCAAGATGGCTGCAAGATGGCCCAATGGCGCTCCAAGATGGGCCCAAGACGGCCCCAAGAGCGCCCCAAGAGCGCCCCAAGAGGGCACCTAGATGCTCTGTGTCGGCCTCCGAGGTGGCGGAACGTAATTGCGGACCCCCTTCTTCAATGGAGGGGTGAACAGCTCGCGAGGCTTAGTTTTTGTTCTAGGCCGAATGTCTGCGGACCGAACACGGTATTAATGAAGTATTAATGAAACAACGCAGGACGCAAACCGTCGTGCGCATTGGCGCATGGACATCGGACGCAAACCGAACCATCCATTCTGACCGTATTGATCTCGGGTAAGCGGCTTTATTCCCCTACATTGAAAGAAGTGCGGAACGCAAGCTAACGTACGCATCGACGCATGAAAAGCGGAAGCAAACCTCCCGATTCATGCTGGCCGTACTCATTGTGGGCAAGCGACAGTAGCCCCCTGCATCAGAGGGAGAGGTGCCGAACGCAAGCTGCCGTGCCCATCGACGCCTGCGTGTGATCATCTTCTCCCAGCAACCCTCCGATGGTGAACCTAACACGATCGAGGTGCTTGACGTAGAAGTTCAGATACTGGGTGCCCTGCTGTGTGTGCCCACGGACAACTTTCAGTTCTAACTCCCCGAATTTTGTCCAACTCATCCCCTTCCTCTGAACTTGAAAACGAAGACCGCCTGCCTGCCTCGCCTCCGCCCATGCCCCTGTGATATTCATTTCTTGGAAGTAGATGTCTGCGCAATGTCCACCCAATTGTTGTACCAAGGCCTCTACATTAATCAGTGTCGTCTCGGCAGACGCTCCCTTCGGAATCTGTATCAAAACGTGCTTGCCAGGCTGCATCAGGTCGAACCGCTCACCAAAAATGTTCTGCAAATGCGGATCGCCAGTAGCAGCCACAGATGCGCCGGCTCCAGCCCCGCCCATCGCTGGCGTCTGGTAGGGCGTCGGGTTGGGCGTCGGGTTGGGCGTCGGGTTGGGCGTCGGGCTGGGCGTGGGGTTGGGCGTGGGGTAGGGCGTGGGGTAGGGCGTGGGGAAGGGCGTGGGGTAGGGCGTGGGGTAGGGCGTGGGGTAGGGCGTGGGGTAGGGCGTGGGGTAGGGCGTGGGGTAGGGCGTGGGGTAGCGCGTCGGGTTGGGTGTCGCCGCCGTGTACTGAATGTCGATCTCCAACCTGGATGTACAATAAGTGCTCGCAGAATAACCGGGACTGATGGAGTTGCTACCCCAATTCCAGTTCGGGATGCCATTCGGGTACGTTGCGCTCGAGGCGGTGCACGCGAGGCACACGTCGCAACTGCAATCCGTCGGAGAACCACAGTATCCTGAGGCGGTCGTGCCTGACAAAGACATTGACAGAGTCCCCACGCTGCACTTGGCTCCGTATGCCGTTACTGTCCACTTGGTGACCGTGCCCAGGTTGACGCCACCGAAATTCACACTAGCCCATGCCACATCGTAATTGCCGTTTTGGCCGAGGCAATTGTACCCTGATCTGCCGCAAACCGAGCAATGGCCTGAGGTACCATACACGGTGTATGGGTTTTGCGCCTGGCGTGACTGTGTTGTGCTGTTCTCGTCGAATTCGACCACAACATGCAACTTGCCATCACCGTCATCCGTTTCCTGGACGACGACGGGGGGTATTGGTGCAGGTTCACTCTGCACGACATCAGGGTCTGCCTTCCTGAGATGCTGCTGCATCATGTGATCGTCGACGTGGCCGCGCTCAAGCGAGCCGATAGAAGCAACACTGATGAGCCCCATGTAGAAGTACATGATGATATACATCGCTGCTGTGGTGCGGGCGCGCGCGTCGGTCCGCACCCGTTGCAGTGACCCTTGGGCCGCACAAATGCTGCCCGCACCGCCCCGCCCCTCATTCCTGGCAACATCAGAAGCTCGAAGAGGGAAGGAGAGAGAGAGAGAGAGACAAACAGAGAGAAGGCATACACACAACATGATCGACCCACGAACCCGGAAAGGAATATAGAAATGAAAGGCATGGCAACGTTTCAAAGACACCTGATTGGGCGACGGGCAAATGCAATGCTGAATGTATGAATCTTGATATACTGTGCCGACGGCTGTGCTGTGCTAGGCCGTGCTGAACTGCGATGGGCCATGCCGCGATTGTGCTCTATATAGCGTTGTGGATCGAGTCTTTCCTGGCATCCGCGTCCTGACCGAACTGATCTGGATCTTAAGCTCGAGCTGCCTGAGCAGATGGTAGCTGTCTCAGAACTAATCGACAGAGGGGACAGGCCAGGAGGACGCGCCGCGGAACGTCCCAAGGGACGAGCCAGGCGACGTGCCAAGAGGACGTGCCATGGGGACGCACCGCGGGACAAACCAAGGGGACGATCTACGGAGCGTGCCAATGGACGTGCCGCGGGACGTGCCAGGGGACGCGCCGCGCGACGTGCCTGGTGGACTCGCCACGGAACGCGCCAAAGAACGTGCCCAGGCGCCATGCTGCATGTATCGATCTTGATGTACTGTGCCGACGGCTGTGCTGCGCTAGGCCGTGCTGAACTGAGATGTGCCATGCCGCGATTGTGCTCTATATATATATATATATATAGCGTTGTGGATCGAGTCCTCCCTGGCATCCGAGTCCTGACCGAACTGATCTGGATCTTAAGCTCGAGCTGCCTGAGCAGATGGTAGCTGCCCCAGAACTAATCGACAAGGAGACACGCCAGGAGGACGCGCCGTGGAACGTCCCAAGGGACGCGCCAAGCGACGTGCCAAGGGACGTGCCATGGGCACGCACCGCGGGACGTGCCAAGGGGACACGCTACGGAGCGTGCAAATGGACGTGCACCGCGCGACGTGCCAGGGGGACTCGCCACGGGACGTTCCGCGGAACGTGCCAAGCAACATGCCAAGCTGCAAAGCTAAGGGTATCGATATTGATGTACCGTGCCGAGGGCTGTGCTGTGCCTGAGCGACTTGGACACGTGAAAACACGCGTTTCGCTCAAGACGTTCTCAGCACATCCTCATGCTAGGCATCCGCCTGGGCAACCTGGACACGTGCCAGCAAGCATCTTGATCGAGACTTCGTCAACACATCCTCATGCTAGACATCCGCCTGGTCGGCGAGGCCGCGTGAAACCAAGCGTCTCGCTCGAGACATCCTCAACACATCCTGGCGCTAGACATCTGTCTGGGCAACCTGGAGGCGTGAAACCAAGCGTCTCGCTCAAGACGTCCTCAAGACCTGGGCACGTGAAAACAAGCATTTCACTTCAGAGATCCTCTGAATTCTGGTCCCCAGGAGAGGACAATCTATAACACAATATTATCCCAGTGCGACCCTACCTAGGAGTTGGAACCCCTAGGAAAGCAGCATTAGTAAGCTAAGCTAAGCTAAGCTAAGCTAAGCTAAAGCTAAGCTAAAGCTAAGCTAAAGCTAAGCCTAAGCTAAAGCTAAGCTAAAGCTAAGCTAAAGCTAAGCTAAAGCTAAGCTAAAGCTAAGCTAAAGCTGAGCAACAGCTAAGCTAAAGCTAAGCTACAGCTAAGCTAAAGATAAGCTAAAGCTAAGCTAAAGCTAAGCTAAAGCTAAGCTAAAGCTAAGCTAGCTAAGCTAAAGCTAAGCTCAAGCTAAGCTAAGCTAAAGCTAAGCTAAAGCTAAGCTAAAGCTAAGCTAAAGCTAAGCTAAAGCGAAGCTAAAGCGAAGCTAAAGCTAAGCTAAAGCTAAGCTAAAGCTAAGCTAAAGCTAAGCTAAAGCTAAGCTAAAGCTAAGCTAAAGCTAAGCTAAACGCTAAGCGAAAAGCTAAGCGAAACGCTAAGCTAAAGCTAAGCTACAGCTAAGCTAAAGCTAAGCTAAAGCTAAGCTAAAGCTAAGCTAAAGCTAAAGCTACAGCTAAAGCTAAAGCTCCCAGGGGACTGGGGGGAACCGCTCCCAGGGGACTGGGGGAACCGCCCGGGGCGCTTTCCACTGCCCGGCCCCTTTAAGCTAGAGAGTAAGAACCCTTCTAGGCAGAGCCTAGGTAGGGAACAAGCGTTTCGCTCGAGACATCCTCAACACATTCTGAAAAACAAGCGTTTCGCTCGAGACATCCTCAAACATAATTCGGCCGGCCCTAGGCGACCTCGTTATTTATAGCAAGATAATTCCGCCAGCCCTGCAGCCGTCGATTCCAAGGGTAAACCTCTAAAAGAGCCCTGGACCCACGCCCTTTCCGGGAGCATGCTGGACCCACGAACCCGGAAAGGGAGATACATATATATATATATATATATATATATATATATATAATAGATATAGATATATATATATATATATATGGTCAGCCCCCCCCCCCAGCACCCCTCCTGGCCCCATTGCTGTGTTTTCTGTCTCTCTCCCTCTCTCTTTCTCACCCTCTCTCTCTCTCACTCTCAGTCCTCTTTCTTTGTCCCTCCTCCTCCTCCTCCTTCTCCTCCTCCCCCTCCTATTCCTTCGCCAGGAAGGCTTGCGGAATGGGGCGTGGCCACCAAACCATGCTATTCACAGGTTTTTTGTTTTTTGGGGTCAGGGAAGCCACGAAACCATGCTATTCACATGTTTTTTTGGTTTTCTGGTTTTCAAAAGCTCCACAACCCCCCGCGCCCCCCCTCTGGCCAAGCTTGTGGAGCTCCTGAAAACCAGAAAAGCCAAAACAACCTGTGAATAGCAAGGTTTCGTGGCTTCCTTGACCAAACAAACAAAAAAACATGTGAACAGCATGGTTTGGCTGCGCATGCTCCTCCTTATCCCCCTCCCTCCTGCCACCTTCCCCCCCCGTTTCCTGTTCCTATCCATCCTCCTCCCCACCATCTCCTCGGCTCTCTCCTGCTTCCTCCTCATCAAACTCCTTCCTACCTCCTCCTACCCTCCCCCCTCTCCTCCTCCCTCAGCATCAGTCCGCCTCAGCCTCCCCCCCCCCCACCCTCCTTCCTCCTCCCTCCTCCTTCCTTCCCCTCCTCCCCACTCACTCTTATATACATTGCTGATCATCCCCATCACCCTCGCCCCCGCCCCTTTCTTATCATCATTTCATCTGTCGCCGCCCCCCCCCCCCCCCCCCCCCCCCCCCCCCACCCTTTTTTGGCCCCCCTTGCAGGGGGAGGGGCAAAGAGAACACTAAGCAAGCAGAGCAAGAGGAGCACTAGGGAGGAAGGAGTCGGCTGAAATGAAATCCTCCGCCCTGAAGACGAAGAGTAGGTGGAGGAGAGAGGAGGAGAGATGAGGACGAGAGATGCGGAGGAGAGACGCGAGGAAGAGGAAGAGGCTTGCGGAATGGGGCGTGGCCACCAAACCATGCTATGCACAGGTTTTTGTGTGTGTTTTTTTGGTCAGGGAAGCCACGACACCATGATATTCATATGTTTTTTGTGGGTTTTCAGAAACTCCACAACCCCCCGCGCCTCCCTCTGGCCAAAATTGTGGGCTTCTGAAACCAGAAAAAAAAAAGACAAAAAACCTGCGAATAAGCAAGGTTTCGTGGCTTCCCCTGACCAACACAAAACACACAACATGTGAATAGGCATGGTTTGGCGGCGCATGCTCCTCCTTATCCCCCTCCTCCTGCCCCCTCTCCCCCGTTTCCTCTTCCTTATCCTCCTCCTCCCCCCCCATCCTCCGCTCTCTCCTGCTCCTCCTCCTCAAACTCCTTCCTCCCTCCTCCTCCTCCCCCCTCTCCTCCTCCCCCATCCTCCTGCTCCTCCTCCTTCTTCTCCTCCTCCTCCTCCTTCTCCTCCTCCTCCCACTCCACCTTTATACATCTGCTGATCATCCCCATCACCCTCGGGCTGAGCGGCGGAGAAAATGAGGAGAACGAGTGGGGAGGGGCAAGAGACACTACACAGGCAGAGCAAGAGAGACTATGAAGAAGAGTCGGCTGAATAGTAAGAGGGGGAACCAGGCAGAAGAGTAGGTGGAGGAGAGAGGAGGAGAGATGAGGACGAGAGATGAGGAGGAGAGACGCGAGGAAGAGGGACCAGGAGGAGGAAGAGGAGCACGATAACTGAGACAAGAAACTATCCACGTGTACAGTCGAAACATGGCCACAAGAACGTAGATCAAACACACAAGCCCCTTCGCCGAATGGTAATGACGCCGTCAGCGAATAAGCTCCTCCCCATCCTCCTCCTCCGCATAATCCTCCACATCCTCCTCCGCATCCTCCTCCGTCTCCTCCTCCTTCCTCCTTATCCTCATCATCCACATCATCATCATCATCATCCCCCTCCGCATCATCCACCTCCTCATTCTCATGCTGCTCATCATCATCATCGTCAGCATCATTATTGCCATTCTCCGCATCATCATCATCATCATCATCATCATCATCAATCAGCCTTTCATTCACATTCAGCATCTCATCATTTATCACCACCGCCACCACCGCCACCACCCATCATTCTTTATCATCATCTCATCATCGTCATCGTCATCGTCATTCATCAATCATCCATCACCACCATCATCATCCCCCTCCTCCCCCTCCATCCTCCTCCCTCCTCATCATCACACCAATCATCATCTCATACTCATCACAATCCGCACATCCCTCCGCATTATCCGCCCCCCTCCGCCTTATCATCATCCCCGCCCTCCTCCTCCTCATCCTCATCATCATTCCTCATCAATAGCATCATCCTCCTCCTCCGCATCCTGATATCCTAATCATGCAGATGAGGATGAGGAGAAATGCGATTGGATGATGATGAGGATGGACGGGCCCTGGGGGGGGGGGGGTGCTGGGGGGGGGGTTGAGCATATACATATATATATATATATGATTGGAGATGAATACAGTATAATATGTTCAATTAATTTAATTTATTTAACTTATTTAATTCATTTATGTTGGCTAATTAAATAAATTAAATGAATTCTATTTATTTAATTTATTTATTTTATTTAATTTATTTAATTTATTTAATTTATTTGTTCGGCCTCCCTGGCGGAGATCACGGCAGGCTTCAGGTGCACCCGAATTTATTTAATTTATTTAATTGCTGCGTTTTAAATAAGTTAAATAGTTAAATAAATTAAATAATATATTGGGCCCTGGCGATCGCCAGGCTCTCCGCCAGATAGGCCGAGAAATAAATTAAATAAATTAAATAAATTAAATAATTAAATAAATAGAATTTATTTAATATATTTAATTTATTTAATTTATTTATGTGAGTTAATTAAATACATTAAATAAATTCTATTTTTTAAATTTATTTAATTTATTTAATTTATTTAATTTATTTAATTTATTTTTCTGCTCCCTGGCGGAGATCACGGCAGGCTTCAGGTTGCAACCCGAATTTATTAATTTGGTTAATTGCTGCGTTTTTTTTTTTTTTTTTTTTTTTTTTTTTTTTTTTTTTTTTTTTTTTTTTTTTTTTTTTTGTTTTTTTTTTTTTTTTTTTTTTTTTTTTTTTTTTAAATAAATTAAATAATTAAATAAATTAAATAATATATTGGGCCCTGGGGATCGCCAGGCTCTCCGCCAGATAGACCGAAAAATGAATTAAATAAATTAAATAAAATAAATAAATTATATAAATTAAATAAATAGAATTTATTTAATTTATTTAATTTATTTAATTTATTTATGTGGGTTCATTAAATAAATTAAATAAATCCCAATTATTTAATTTATTTAATTTATTTAATTTATTTAATTTTTTTTTCGGCCTCCCTGGCGGAGATCATGGCGGGCTTCAGGTGCACCCGAATTTATTTAATTTATTTATTTGCTGCGTTTTCAATAAATTAAATAATTTAAATAAATTAAATAAATTAAATAATATATTGGGCCCTGGCGATTGCCAGAACCTCCGCCAGATAGGCTGAGACGGCGACGACGGCGCCAGAAAATATTAAAAGTGCGGTACCCCCGGTCCCTGGGCCACCGCCTCCTTGGCATGTTTTTTCTCATATTATGCCTCCGCCTTCTCCCTACTATTTTTACTCCTCCTCCTCGTCCTCCTCCTACTCTTTCATTTCTTCCTGGTCTGCCAGCGTTTACGCAGGGAGCGGTAATCGTGCCGCCGCTCGCAGACGTGAACTCTACAGTGCTTTTTTGTTCGGTACCCCCGGGGCCTGGGCCACCCCCGACGACCATGACGACGACGACGACGACGACGACAGGGGCAGCGGGCGCGACGACGACGGCGAGGACGGCGGCGGCGGCGGTGGAGGCGGCGGCGGCGGCGGCGAAAGCGACGTCGGCGGAAGTGTCCGGGAGCGCGCCGTCCGGACACTTCCAAAGACTCTGGACGACGATGACGACGACGACGGCGACGACGGCGGCGGCGGCGGTGGAGGCGGCGGCGGCGGCGGCGAAAGCGAAGTCGGCGGAAGTGTCCGGGAGCGCGCCGTCCGGACACTTCCAAAGACTCTGGACGACGATGACGACGACGACGGCGACGACGGCGCCAGAAAATATTGAAAGTGAAAATATGATATATTGTTTATTAGTTAATTTTTTCCCGTGCTCTTCTCCCGCCAAGGCCGAAGGAAAAATCGGTCGTGAGTGGTGAGATAATGCCGTGCCGTCCGCTTCCGGAGGCTTCCAAAACCCAGCGGAGGCTGCCACGGAAATGTCCGGAGGCCCTTGGGGGCCTCCCTGGGGCCTGCCAGGCTTCTCTGGGGGCGCCCAAAATAAGTGGTACAAGCATGGGTTCCAAACGATAAGTTTTACCACTTATTTTGAGGGCCCTCTTGGACCTCTCTTGGGCTTCTTGGGGGCCCATTGGTCGTCTTGCGCCATATTGTTGGGTTTCTTGGCTTTTTTTTTCCGCCGTGTTGGGGCGATCACTGCAGTCTGCGGGTCTCCTAGTATCATCGCGAGGCCGTCTTGAGGTTGTACTGTCATGGTCCGAACCACTCGGAGGTTCGAGGATCGAACTTCGGGGAACGAGGTACAGCCCGAAAACCAACCGAACGACGGAGGGGGGGGAACTGGGAGGAGGAGGAGGAGAAGGAGGAGGAGGAGGAAGAGGAGGAGGACGACGACGACGACGACGACGACGACGAGGAGGACAAGGAGGACGAGGGAGGGGGAGGAGGAGAAGGAACAGCAGCAGCAACATCAGAAAGTGTCTGTGACAATTCAGTGACGGTCCCTCCTGATCGGGGTACAACAAAATCGCCCGTTTATGTTGTACCCGCTCGCTGCTGGGAGGGCGAAGAGGTTGGCCTCGGGGGGGGGGGGGCGTGATGAGTTTTTTGCTTTCCTAGAACACCCTCCCATTCTCCTTCTCCTCCTTCTCCCGCTTCCTTCCCCTATACCATACCTACCATACCATATCAGACCTACCATACGATACATCACATACCATATTACACCAGATCTACCATACCATACCATATTTACCATACCATACCATACCATATCACAGCACTCGTACCATGCCATACCATAATATTTATCAGGTTTCGTGTCCCTCCCACCCTTCCTCGGTGGCCCCGCCTGAGCGAGGAGAGTCGGCGAATACAATCGTATTTATCAGATTTCGTGCTCCTCCCACCCCTCCAGGGAGGCACCGCCTGAGCGATGAGGGTGTACGCATACCATACTATTTATAAGGTTTCGTGCCATCCCTCTTCTCCAAGAGGCCCCGCCTGAGCGAGGAAGGTATACGAATACCGTATCACTTATCAGGTTTCGTGCCCCCTCCCACCCCACCAGGGAGGCCCCGCCTGAGCGAGGGGATAGAGCTGCAGCCGTATCTCCCTCGAGATATCACCCTTTTGGCGTGGCTCGGCATTGCCGGCCTGTCATTCTACTTCTTGCGTGGCTCGGCATTGCCGGCCTGTCATTCTACCCCTTGCGTGGCTCGGCATTGCCGGCCTGCTACTTCCATTCTCCCGTTCCTGTACGTGGCTTGGCATTGCCGGCCTGGTCTCAGCCATGTCGCCTCAGATCGTCATCTTCTACAACGTGGTCATGCCGGATCGGCCACGCCTGCGACGCGGCGCATTGGATCTACCCGACATCGGTGTCAAGATAGAAGATTGGGGGTCCGAATTGCGCGGCAACGCTTCATTCACAGACGCCTGGGAGTTCGGCGTGCCCTTGGAGGCAGGCTTCAAGGTCGGCGACAGGGTCTCCCAGGTTCTCTCCGTGACAGTGGCAGCCAGCAACCGCGAGAACATCCGCCCGCGAGCCGACGATCGCCCCTGCGTTATCCGCGGCCGCAGTGGCGCCCTGAAGAGTGTGAGGAGTTTCTGCGTCTCCTGCGCTTGCGCGGTCGACGCGGACCGCACCGCCGACGCCAGGGCCGCTCTGCGACACTTTCCCTCTGGTCAGCGATCGAGCCTGTTTGCTTTGCTCCGCGGCCCAGCGAGCATGGGCATCCGACTTGCGCTGGGAAGCATTCTGGACTCCATGGAGGAGCAGCTTCTCGATTGGAAACCTCGGATCAAGAACAACAAGGATGCGCTGAACAAGGAGCTGGATCGTTGGACTGGTCTCGGGCGCGTCCTGAAGCGAGCGGCCTACGGCGCCCCCGTGCAGCTGGGGTGGTCGGACTTGGAGGAGTTTGTGGTGTCTCGGGATCCTTGCCGCTTCGGCCCAGGCGTCGGGCTGGGCCGAATGCTCGGCGAGCAATGCAGCTGCGGGGTGTTATCTTTCCGCAGCAATGCGCAGAAGCATCATGGCGACGTCGTCCCGGAGAGCATGTGGGCCCCTTACGTCGTACATCAGCTGAAGAACAATTGCATCCACGCGTTTCTGGCTGGCGAAATCACCTATTCCGGCACCGGCAACGTGCTCGTGCCAGCCTGCGCGAACGACGTTGACTGCAGCCTCGACGTCTGGGACACCTTGGTCCTGGACCACCCCGTGGTGGACCCGGACCACGTTCGCGATCACGTGGCGCTCGTCGTGGCGGAAGAGCAGATGCGGGCGGTCGCGGCCGCTGCGGCGGAGAAGCAGACGGGGGCAGGCGCAGGTGTATTCCCCGCGCTCGCGAACGGTGAGAAAGGTCTCTCTTCGTCGAGGCCGTGGAGCGCGGTGAGCTCCACCTGTGCCTCGCGACCGCGGGCACTGACGAGGAGCCGCTCCTGCGACTGCAGCGCGGGACGTCAGTCCGCGGGCGGGTATTCGCTTGCATCGGTGAGTATGTTGGCGCTGAGGCAAATGCTATCGCTGCCTTGAAGCGCAGCCTCCGCACTGATCCGTCGCCGTGCTGCCGGTCGCTGCTGCCGGAGCACGGCGTGGCATCCGCTGGCGTCCAGCGCAATCCCAGTGTCTTCGAGCAGATGAGTTCCGAGGAGATCTTGAAGCAGTCCACGGACATCGGCAAACAGTTCACGAACGCCCAGATGCAGTTCATCGACCGCGCACTTGACCGGGAAGATGGCGTTGCCCTGTGCGAGGCCTACCCTGGCACTGGCAAATCAGCGACGGCGGCAGGCATCATTGCCAACGCGGCGAGGCATTGCTCTGGCAATGCCAAGTGCGTGGCCCTCGCCCAGCAGCGTGCCATGCGCGACGAGCTGCTGTCCAACATCCGATCCGCGCTAGACGACCCGCTGGCCGCCGCCGGCGTGGGCCGACCTGCGGACGAAGCTCCGTCAGACGACGACTCCTATTTGGATTCGCAACTGCTATCGGCAGTGAGCGGGCGATTCGCCGACCTGCAGATGCGCATCGAGGAACTGCGCGACGACCTGGCCGCCGTTCGCTGCAATCCGGACGAGGGCTCGCTCGAGCGGAGAGAGTGGTTGGAGAAGACGGAGCTGATGCGGCACCTGTGCTTCGAGTACGACGCGCTCCAGGAGGAAGCCGCGGAGAAGCTGTTCCACGACGTGCGCGTCTTCGCCATGACCATCGACGCTTTCAACAACGTCCAGAGCGGCCGCAGCTGGTTATCCAGGATCTTCAAGCGGTTCGAGATTGCATTCGTCATCGTCGACGAGGTGCACCAGGCCAACTTCGGCGAAGTGTACGCCGCTTTGCAATCAGCGCCGAGCGCGGTCGTGTACTTCGACTCCGCCCAGGAGATCCGCCACCGACCTGCGACGGAGTTCCTGCGGGAGCCGAGGCCCGACAGAGCAGGTAATTACTACGAGTGGCAGATGGCCTGTCACGGGAAGTCCCGCGTGCGTGCTTGGGACCATGTTCCCGCAGACAGCGTATCGTCCTTGCCAGTCGCACATCGGTTCGGCCCTGCGCCTGCCAAGCTCCTCAGGGCAATCTCAGCTGTCTACGGTCGGCCTGGCCGGGAAATCAAGTGCGCGATCGAATGCGCCCGAGAGAGCGGGGACTCGTCCGTGGACTTGTCGATTGCCCCGTACACTGCGATGCGCTTCGTGTTCTACAGGGGCGCGCGATGGATTCCATCGCTATCCCGCGGTGTACTCGCCGACGACGCAGCGGAGGTGGGCCAGGTTGATCGCGCAGCTCCGGGCTCGTCTGCCGCGGGAGCAACGAGGTCACGAACGTCGACGTTGCGCGCCGGAGCTTCCGACGTCATTTTCGCCCAGATGCTGTTCGAGGGCTTGTTCTTCCTGCGCGTGCTGGCGAGAGGTTGAGGGGGGGCCGAAGCTTTCGCGCGCTCAGACCCCACCCCCCTTCCATCCCGTTCTCCCATCCTACACCGACATATAGAACTACACCGCACATTTTTTCCCTGGAGCTGCGTTCGCGCCGCTCGGGGGGAAAATCTGCGTCGCCGAGAGCGGGGAGAAGGGGGTCTGTCGAAGCTGCGCCCGTTGTCGAATGCTTTGGGACCACTGTCAGGCGAGGTGAGCAAGCGCGTTGGCGGGCCGCGCATGTCGCTGGAGCCGAACACGAAGGCGGTCTTGACCATGATCCTTGCGAACGACGTGGGCGTTAATTTCGCCACGTTGGTGCGAGGTGCTCTGGAGGACGAGGAAGTGCGGGCGGCGTTCGGTCTGCCGGATTTCGTGGCTGATGCCCCCAAGCTCTGGCGCGTGATGACGCCCGAGGCTGCCATGGGCTCCGACGGCCTCCTCGCGCAGACCACGCTGTTTCCCAGGGACCTCTCCGCGCATGACCTGCAGGGCCACGCGAAGGAGCCCAACCGACACAACGTGGCCTTCTCCAGGTGCATTCTCTTCGCTTCGTCGCACGAGTGCGAGGAGTGCTTCGACGACCGCGACGCGGCCCCGCACTGGCGGAGGCATCGGGCTTACACCTCGGATGCAGGCGGCGACTTGGACATCGAAAAGATCGACTGCCGCGGGCCCGGCGCGGAGGGGCCTGCGCGGCCGGAGTGGTTCACGTCGCCCGACGGCGCTGCGGGGGCAAGTCAGATGTTCCGCGCCGTCACGACCTTCCTGTCCCCCATCCCGCGCGTGGTCGCGAACCTCCGCAATCGGGCGGCACGCGTGCAGGTGCGCCCGCTGACGGCGCAACCCATATCCATCGCGCAGGCGGTCGGAGACGCCTGCGAGTGGATGATGGGCAGAGGAGCCCAGCCAACGGCCGCTCGTGAGCAAACTTCGCAGGCGATGCCTCTCCAGACTTCCTCGTGGGTGAGCCAGCCCGACATGTACGGTCTCGCGTCGGACCCGACCGCGCTGCACGCAGTTCGAAGCCAACTACTCAAGCACTTGGGGATCGTGGTTCAGAACGGCCGAGCTGCGATTACGGCCATGTACTTGGACGCCACTCGGGCGCGGGACGACGAAGCGGCTCCTCACAGTGCGACAGTGTAGCGCGCGATGGCCGCGGGGCGGGTGATTGCGTTGCACGCGGTCCAGCTCTTCCCCGACGCTTTCGCGGCAGAGTTTCCCTTGCGGGCGACGCTCATGCCCAGGAAGAGGCTGCGCCTGGGCGGCGCTGTGCTGCGAGAGAGCTGGGAGGCTCGCGCTGCTTTGGCATTGGCGTTGGAGCGCCCTGGTGGCGGCGACCCGAGGATGCTCATGTACCAGTTCCTGGGGGATAACAAACAGCGCAACCGGGCATCGGCGGACCCGCCCAACACTTTCCCCTTGCACTTCCGCGACATGCCGATCAACGTAGCTCAGGCTCTGGCCGCGACAATACTTTTTTTCACTGGCGCAGAGATCTCGGAGAAGATGGTGGTCGTCCGCCCGCGAGCACCGACGCCTGAGCACCGTGAGGAGGCCGCGGACGTGAGTCGGGATATCATATACGCAGCGAATGCAATGTCTGGAATTCTTCGCAGGAGGCACGGGCTCCCGGCCGGCGTGCATTTGCCGCGCGCACCCAACTCAGCTGGCGCCGATGCCGCGCGAAAGTGCGTGGAGGAGGCGTTCAACTGCATTCTCTGCTCGAACACGGGCGTGCTGGAATATTTTTCGAGCCAGGGCGGCGAGATCAGGGACTTTTGTCCGCTCTGCGAGACGTGCAACCTGTGCAGTGGCAGCGGCTGCTGGCCCGACGATGCGACGCCGTGCCCTGCGTGCGCAGTCTAGGGGTTGCTCGAGTCTGCCGATGCCTTCGCTTTTCCGTCGTTTCCGAACCTTGACCCCAGCCCCGCCCTCCCCGCTCGTGAAACGCGCGGGGGCGCAGGGACGCCTTGTACAGGGTGTTGCTCGTTTGTAGATACCCCTTGTATATAGCATGCGTTGTTCGGAACTTGCCTTGCATGCGGCTACCTACTGAGTGATGATAGACGACCCCATTGCATAGGGCCACATCTGCTGTGACATAAGCCCTACTACCACATCACAGGTATGCCAGATATCCAGGTTTATCTAGCAACAACTTACCCCAAACACAGAATGCCATGACATTTGTCCCAGATAACACTTATACGAAATAACAGACTTGCCAGATGGCAGATTTGCCAGATAACGGATAGCAGGTTTGGGTCCCGTTCTTGAACCGGGTCACCGGAGTGCAGGCGGGCTGGGGTCTGCTCTCCAGCCCGCTCGGATTGGGCTGGTCACCGTCACTGCAGTAGATTACGGATGGGCTCGGTTCAAAACCATCGCTTGCAAAACATATCATATGATATATGAGGAGTCACCGTCGCAGCGGGCTCAGTTTCCATCTGTCGCGGATTGCATGCGGCATTTATTGTATGTGACATGCTTCGTGCATGGCTTATTAGGTGTGTATGACATGTCTTGCACGTGGCGTCTACTGTACAAAGAGTGGCTTGTATGCGGTCGTCTAGCACGCACTTAACATACATTGTCTCTGGCGCGGCTTGCATGTGACATGGTAATCCCGCGCTCGATGCACCATAATATATTTGAAGGGAATGCGGAAAGGTTTTACTCGGCGAGGTTCAGAGCCCTGCGGAGTGACCTCGGCCCGAGCATTCTGCGGAGCTTGCTGAGCAGCCCAGGGGGGCTCGTCCGCCACCTCGCTCGCCGCCGCCCGCGCCATGGCGCTGTCTCGCCCCGTTGTGCCGTTTGTCGACGGCGCCGCCGGGGAGCCGGCGGGCCGGGCATTGCCTCGATCTAATGTTGTTGCCATGCGAGGGCACGTGGGCCATGATCCGTGATTCGCACGTTATTTTTGTTTTGCTCTGCTGATTGTTTCATGGGGCCTTCCCGAATACTTGTCGCTTTGGCTGTTGAAAGTCTTCCTACTGAAGTCTGACGTCCAGGGCAAATTCTGGCGATCCTTGGGGGGGGGGGAGTTGAGTAACTCAGATGATATATCGTTTCTCGGAGAGTATTTCAAACCGCAGATTTTTGCCCGCTGGCCGCCAGGCCAGGGAGCAGGGAGGGGGTCGTCGCTGCAGCGGCGCGCGATTTTCGCCAGGTGGACTGGCTGAAGTGGGACGACTCGAAGCAGGTGTGGAAGTGCCTCATCTGCCCGCATTGGGACGATAACGGGGCAGACGCCAAGCAGGCGCAGGATTGCCACTGCTGCGCGCGCCGCCGCCCTTCCCCAGTGTTCGATGGTAACGTGCGGAAAGTTTTGCGGAGTCCATCGTGCATGTCGGCACGCGCGCTCTACTCGCCTGCGCTGTCGGATTTACTTAGAATCTGCTGTTTTCAACATTTGTTGTATACGACATGCTGTGTCTGTGACTTGTGTTTAAAACATGATTTGCCTTGTATATGATATGTGATGTGTGCTTATCATAAGCCGCACTCTCATATAGTACGTATTCCAGGTAACGGCTTTGCCAGCCAACAGTTTTGATAGATAACAGATTTGCCGGATAACATGTTTGCTGGAAGACATATTGGCCAGATGGCAGATTTGCCAGATAACGTGCGTGACAATTAACGCAGCTGCCAGATAACAGCTTTGCCAGATAACGGGCTGCGAATGGTTATGTTTGCTAGATGCATGGTTCGCAGGGTATCCCTGGCGGAGGCCCTGGCGAGCCGCAGCCGCGGCCTAGTTAATTTATTTTATATCACTCATCAAAACTGATTAGTTGAAGCCTCCTGGCTTGAGTTAGATATCGTGGTCGCCACATTGTCAGGTTTGCAAGATAACGGGCGTGCCAGATAACAGGTTAGCCAGATAACAGAATTGATACATAACGGATGACATATTTGCACGTTTGCCAGATAGTAGATTTTCCAGATGCGAGATTTGCCAGATAACAGATTTCCAGATGAGAATTTTTCCAGATAGCAGATCTGCCAGATTATCGGTGTCCGTTGCTTTCATCATGTATGCTCGCCCCGTTGTTCCGTTATCCACTTATTCCTTGTGCTTTACATATAAATTCCCCCATTGTGTCGTGCACGTATTGGTCGCATATGTCCTGCGGCTTCCTGTCGTTCCTGCGTCATTTCTCGTCAACGTTGATTTGCGATAAGCTTGCTCGGTGATATCTGAACGAGTCTGAGCGGTCATTCCGAGGCCGGCCTCAGGCCCCATGCAGTCTCTCACCCAGACCACGCTCCCGCGATATCCTGAGTAGGAGGCTGTGCGTTTCTGTCATAGGAGCGCGCCTCTCCCGCTGCCCCATCTCCCCCCCCTTCCCCGATGGAGGACGACCCTTGGTGCGAGCACTTCACGAGTCGTGAGCGCGCCAGGAAGGTTCGCAACTGGGCGCCGGGGACGACCGTTAACCCGGAGCACCCGGGCGCGGTGCCGCCGCCACCGCGGGCTCTGGGCTGGGGCGCCTGCGCCGCGGCGCCTCCGCCAGCGCCGGCGGGGGGGGCGTGGAGCGTCGCCTCGGAGGCGCCTCCGCCTCCGCCCGCCTGGGGCCCAGCCGCGGGCGCGGCAGTGGTTCCCCCTCCGCCGGCCGCTGGCTCGCAGCGGCCGGCGGACGCGGCGGCGCCCCCGCCTGTGATCGCTCTACCGGACGGATCCACGCAAGATGCGCCCGAGCAGGCCGAGGGCGATCAGGCGGGGCGCGCTCCGTGGGGTGCAGTCCCGGCGGCCTGGGGCGCGCCCGCCGCGGCGCCTCCGCCTGCCTGGGGCCCAGTCGCGGGAGCGGCAGTGGTCCCGCCTCTGACCGACGGCTCCACGCAGGATAGGATCGACGCTCTCGAGCGAGCCGTGAGCGAGCTGCAACAGCAGCTCGCTCGCCTGCAGGCCAAGCTCGAGCAGTGATCTTCCGTCCTGCAGCGCCGCCTCTACTCTCGCCCCGCTATCTTCACGTTTGACAGATGATAGAATTGCCAGGTAACATATTGGCCCGATGCCAGATTTGCCAGATCCCACGCCTGCCAAACAACATATTTGCCAGATAACAGATTTGCCAGATCATACGCCTGACACGCGACACATTTGCAAGATAACATATGTGCTAGATCATAATGATTTCAGACAGCATGACCATCATTCTGGTATGTATTAAATCATATTTGTTGTTGTTCAATGAGAAGTTGCACATGCTCTGCGTTCATTGAATATGTCAAACTCTGTAATTGAAATGGTTTGTATGCGGTCTGTCTGGCACACAGCACAGAGTTTGTATACATGTCATGGTGGAACAGTCTTTGTGCGCATCAGTATGATATGCCGATGCAGACGTTGCCTAATCTACAAACAGAACTCCACTTTTAAGGCGCGCTCAGAATGCGACGCGGTGAGTCGCTCATTGATTTTCCATGACGGTTTCTCTCGTCTCCTCTGCCTGTTCAGTCTTGCGAGTCAGCAGCTCTGCCTATGCCCGTTGTGCCTCCAGCAGCCCAGCCAATGTGACCACGAGGGCAACCCAGTCAACCCACTGTGGTTAGACTGCCTCTGATTGCAGGCCCTCTTTGAAGATATCACTTGGTCACAAGGGTGATCCAGCCAGCCGAAAACGGCTAGGCTGCCCTGTTCACCTGGTGAGTTCTCCGTAACCTCCTCACTGGTTGCACGGGTCGTAGAAGTCGCCGAACCTGCATAGCTGCGTTCTTAAAAGGTGCTGCGCCCCAGGAAACCCTTGTTTGCGAGATAACATGGTTGCCCGATGGAGCTGCGTTCTTAAAAGGTGCGGCGCCCCAGGAAACCCTTGTTTGCTAGATAACATGGTTGCCCGATGGCGGCGTTGTCAGATAACAGACATGCCGCATATCCAGGGTTACCATCGTATACGAGGAAGATCATATACAATGAAGGCCATATTCAAACAATATCATGCACAAGGAATGACATTTACAAGAGACGTCATATACAAAGATTGTCATAGACAAGGAGGATCTCGTCCTCGGTCGTTGTCATCGTCGGGTGCTGGGCGTCAATACGTATTCCTTTATGGTCCAAGAACGGCGGGTGCAATCGGGCCGCGCGTCTTTTCGAGCGCCTTCTCAGAATTGCAGGCCTCATGGGCAGCAAGTTTGTCATGCTGATGATTTCGATGGTATGTTTGCATTCTTGTCTTTCCGTAAATGCGAAGACTGTCTGCGGCAAGCGGCGCGCCGCACCTGCGGTCCAGCAGGCGAAGCGGGACACCCCAAAGAGAATCGCCGCGGACGAGGACGCGCGCAGCCTCACCTCCACCATGCAGGACATGATCCCGCCGTGGAACCTGCAGGAGGCGGCGAAGAACCGCGCGCAGGCACTCGCTGACTGGATGACCTGGTGCGTCCCCTACGTCACGGCCGAGATCCAGACGCACCCAGAGATCTACGGACCACTCGCCAACAGCCCGGGAGAAATCAAGAGGCTTGCGGAAGAGATCTGCGCCCGGGCACATCGCCGCAAGCTGCACGAGGTGGCGCGTGCGCACCGGCGACAGGCGAAGCGGGATCTTGCAGCGCGTGCTGGAAAGGGCAGTGCCGCCCAGGGCACCAGAGCTCATGCATCCTGGCTGACGACCCGCAGCAGTGGGCCAATGTCATGCTGACGAGGACGCACGCAATTTTTGTCCGAATGCCGCTGCGACCTGACCACAGCACCGCACCAGAGGATTTATTGACCAAGCATGGCCGCAAGGATTGCTTGAGTGAGTTTGAGAGAAAAAAAACCATCCTCCTCTTCCTCTTCCTCCTCCTCCTCCTCGCGGGGGGGACAGCGACGACAGACGACG